TATTATATACGAAAAATGTTTGAGGGTCACAATTTTTGTGGCTTAAATGGTTCAAAATTGTCAAAACGATATCGTTTTGAAAATTTTAAAATTATTTTGTACTCAAAACGACGTCGTTTTAATAATTTCGAACTATTTAAGTCACAAAAATTGTGACCCTGTGTATCATACACAAGGGTTCCCGTCTAGGAAATAGCGCTGTAATTGGGGTGTGGACCCTTTTTTAAGTTGTGAAATTTGGCAATATTTTTCAAAATCTAAAAATTGGATAATTCATAAGACGTTAAGAGAGATTAATGTAATTTACCTCCTTTTTTTTTTTTTTTAATACAAAAAGATTTTATTGATTTCCATAATTATTTCAAAGTTGCAGCAGTCAGAGCTAACAAAACAAAACAAAAAAAAGGTAACATAGTTCAATTTAAGTATGAATAATACACCAAATTTGATTGATTTAAAATAATATTCTATATTAAAAAACTCGGCTGTGATTCGGACCCCCAGCTGGGGCACCCCCAGTGACCCCCCAGCGTCACATGGCGCTCTGTCAGTGGCTGAAACTAAAAAAATATATATATATTTTTTTTGGCCAATCAGGAGTAACCCCAGTACCCCCACTGGGGGTCTTAAGCTTTATTCTAAAAAACTATATTAATTTAGAGCAATTTGGTAAAAACTAACTTTTTGACTTTTTACCAACTTCTTCCAAAAAAGTCACAAAAAAAGCCAATTTTTTGGCTTAAAAAGTCACTAAAAAAATTTAAAAAGTGAAAAAAATTAATTTTTTACCAACTTCCCAGAACATTCATAACTCTCTCCAAAATCATATGCCCACTATTACAATGAAAAATTGTAAATCAAACTCCTATTTCTAAATAGGTGCAAGCACAACATGTGGACTGGAATGATGCTTCTAAATTATATCATTTTTTTTCTAGTTTTTGAAAGGGCTTTGATAAAGACCCCTTCAAATCACCACTCTCACCTCCCACCTCCACAGACACGGGGCGGTAGGTGATTGGAGGAGAAGGAAAACAAAAAAAAAAAGAAAAAGAAAATCTGACCAATGAGAGACAGAGGGGGTCAATGGAGTGAGACGGAAAAGGGGGTCTAAGTCTTTTTCCTTTTTTAAAATGGCAAACAATTGGCTCAAAATATAATCTTATTGTGGCAAGATCTATGATTCAAAATGGCGTTTCAAGTTACAACTTAACTACATTATGTGGTGTTTTGGAAAGTTAATAAAAAATTATTTTTTTGACTTTTTAATTTTTTTGGTAACTTTTTTGAGCTGGGTTGATTTGGGTAAAAAACTTGACTTTTTTAAGTAAAAAAATTTAAAAACTAACTTTTTACCATTGCTCCCAAAAGACCTATGTCTTAATTTTAATAACTTGCTAAGTCCTAATTTGAAATTAGGTTTCAATGCCTGTGTTTGGGAAGTTGGATTTGAGGATTTTTCAGCTAAAATAGTTACAAAAAACAAAATAGACTTTTTAACCAAATAAGACAAAATATCACATTTAACCTATAATCATTACATTATTTCTCTCACCAAAAAAACTAAAAATCCTTTCCAAATCAACTTTTTTAACATCAGACTAAAATAACCAAAAAGTCAATCCACCTCCCAAACGAAACCAATACAATTGAAGACATAACTGGCCCCATTAGAAATAGTAGTATGTTTTAAGCCTCGTTTGGCAAGTTAACATTTTAGTCAAAAAGTTAAAAATTACTTAAAAAATCAAAAAAAACTATAACTTATACCAAAAAATCAAAAATTCCATTTTCTCTCAATTTTTTGCAGATCTTTTCATAAAAAGCCAAAAAATCACCCCAACACGTACTAATTTTTTTTACCTTATATTTTAGCCAAAAAGTCAAAAAATTACTAAAATACTAATTATTTTTTGATGGTTCAACTATTTTAGTTTTATTAAAAAAGTTAAATTTGAAATGATAGTTGACGCTTTTTTTTTTTGTAATTGATTTGATAATTACAACAAAAAGATAAAATAATTATGATTTAAATATAACATTTTATTTTATTAACTATTTTAATTTATTTTATCTTTATTGACTATTTTAATTTAAATCCAACTCTCCAAACAGTGCCTATAAAAGACGGAGGTGCACACGACAGACCGAATCTGCCTAAAATGTGCTAAATATGTGGATAGCCTATTTAAAAATATATATATATATTTTATATTATTTAATTCTTAAAGAATGTTCAACAATCGTGGCAAAAAAATGAGCGTACGGTTCTCAGTAAGATTTTCGCCAGAAAGAGCTGATAAAACAAACCAGTTGTAGATTAATGCCCTAACATGACCAAAACCATGAAAGCAGAAAGACACATTAGGCAAATTTTAAGCACACAATAGGAATTTATATAAAAAGGAAGCAAAACATTCTAAAGATAAACACAAATATTAGTATCACAATAGAAATCTCTCCAACAGATCATAAATGAAGAACATCGAGAGCTGGCACTAGCACCAAAAACTAACCAGACCAAGCGGTTCATCACTTCCGTGATCTTGACTTGGCACGTCTGGCTTCATCTGGAGTCGAAGGAAATAGCTCCACATACCGTGATCCAATGGTCATCTTGTCCTTGCACATTGCTTTCTTAGCCTCCTCAGCTGAGGCAAACTCTACGTATGCCTCTCCAGTAGCTTTCCCATCAGGGCGACACGCAACATGTACCTTATCATCTGTTAGCTTGAAATCTCCAAAGAATTCGACAATATCAGATTTCGTCACAGAAAAGGGCAGACCGCGTAATTTCAATATCTCAGTGTAATCCAATTGGTCCTTGTCGATAGACTTCTTAGCTCGAGCAGGTGGAGGAGGGCTTCCATGGTAGTCGTTATCATAAATTCCTTCATAATTCACCTCGGCAGCTACAGCATTGTAATAATCTTGCTTCTTGCACTTGAAAACTTCCACGTATCTCCGACCCATGTTCTGCCTATCTCTCTGTAGAGAAAACTCGGCCTGCATTGGTGTTGAAAAGACAACAAATGCCTCTCCCGAGAACCTGCCATTCTTGTTCACCAGCAACACATCTACAATGTCAAGCCCGGCAAAGAACTTGAAAATGTCCATGTCGGAGCAGTTGAAGGGAAGTCCTCTGAGACGAACCACGGGAAATGCAGAGGCTTGGAATCCACTGCCATAGCCGTAAGAATGGTAGCCACTTGAACTGCTGCTCACTGCGAAGTAGGGATTTGATTCCATCATTCTTTGTCTCTTTGAGCCGACCTCGTACCCGTCCGAAACCCCCCCGCTTCCCAACATTGCCCTTCAATAATTCATAACCCAAAAGAGAAAAAATCCCCCAACTCAACCTTGTTAATAAAACCAAACCCAACCCATGTTTCCTAACACCTAGTTTACTAGTTACTACATTAGTTCCTAAAGCATTTTGTTATATGTTGTCAACCCTCATACAAATATTCACTACACAAACCCAAAAGTGGAGCAGAGCAGTGAGGAAACACAGCAATTAGTGACCCAGGACAGCATTGGCTACACCTTAACTCAGTAATGCTACCAGGGAGGCCAACCAATAGATGGCCTCAAGGATAAAAGCATAAATTTCACCAAAAAACAGATTCTTTCACTCAAATATTGACAAATGTAATTTATTAGTCACAAATCCAATGTATGGGAAATAACCAAGGTATCATTAGTGAGCCAAGAGAGCCATACGGGTAAAGCTATTCTGGGCCATCTAGTGCTATGTTTCCTCCACATGACCTTAGATAATAACTTGAAACCCAGGGTAAATACGGTACTAAAAGCAAAGCAAATGTTCAATGCAAGAATTATCCATCATCATTCAAACTAAATAAATGACAGGAAACAGGATCACATTTAAATGTTAAAATAATAACCACGAATATCACAACTACCGGTAAACCTCAAAAAAATGTAATAACAAAGCACAAACAAGTTAAACAATTATATATTGGAAATTTTAAACAAACACCAATATCCCTTAAAGTATGATATGTATAATAAAAGCTAAAACATCCACTTATAGAGAACTCATAAACACTTTTTACTGTTCCTAAATTCCCAGGAAATATACTATCAATAATAGTTTAAGTTAAATAAATATGATGCAAAAGATAGTAAAAGCTCAGTCTCAAACAAACAAACAAACTACAAACTGACAAGAAACAATTTTTTTCCCCAAAAACCTAGAAACACCTCCAATTACCCTTGAAGGTTGAGCAGGTTTAACTCGTGCCCATTTCCCACAACCGTAGTCGGAGTAACAAAAATAGGTCATATGACTAATACATAACCGTTTGAACTGACAAATTCCTCTCCTATATCCTTTGTATTTAAAAAACTTCGTACAAAATATGTTTTCTATCAGCTTAGTACAAACCGTCATGATATCATTTGGGCAAATTTGTTTGTGCGAGGCTTTGACGGATTTTCAGCAATTGCACATCCGCGTCATGACATCTTAGTTCTCACATTTGTATTCCACAGGTAAAAGAATAAAAAATTCAAGGTAACAGAGCTAGAATTACAGAGAGGGCCCAAAATCAAAATGAGACAGGCTATCTAGGGGTTTTATTTGATAACAATCTCTAAATTAATAGACGTTGAAATACATGTCTAGCTCTTAAAACAAGCGTGGGACATAAATCTAATCGGATGTTAAACACAAAATTATCTTCAAGAGCACAAAAAAAATTTACGGGTTCAAGAACTCATCTATACTGAAACATGTCATTCATTCATTCACATATATATATATATATATATAATCAAAGGGGGGAAAACAAACAAACAAACAAATTTGAAATTAAACCTTGAAAAATCACTATGCCCCTTTCTCTCTATCAAAGAAGAACACAAATCAAAGCCATACCCAACACAAGATTTTATATGAAAAGAGGATCGCTATACACAACAAATACACAGAGATGTACAGAGAACATGGACACACAACAAGAGCAACAAAGGATCGAATCAAAGAGAGAAAGAGCTTTATCAACTTACCCTCTCGCTCCGTACATGGCTTGGCTTGGCTTGGCTTCGCAGGAAAGAAATCTCCACAATCGTTGGTAAGAGAGACAAAGGGAGACTTTCTGAAGGAAAACCCTAATCCAGATTTGGGTGGAAAGAACGAACACCCTCTACTAATTGCCTTTGCTATATATATTGGATTATTTTGGTCAAGTCAATAATTAGTAAATTATTTACAAGGATGTATCTTTCTCAATTTCCTCTTCTTATTTTTAAATTTTTTATTTTTATTTTAAAGGGTGTTTTGCGAAGTGGGTTAAAATTTACCTTCCAACTTTTACCTCTCTCATGAAAAAGGTTAAAAAAATTAAAAAATAATTTTTAATCATCTTTCCAAAACACCCTACAAAAAGTAATCCAATCATAGAGGTGTTACTAATGGTCACATTTTCATTTTGAATGATTTTATCTGTTTAATTTTTCAAAAATGCTTTAGAGCTCTAATAGTTCTAATGGGAAGGTAAGACCCACCCTGATGTGATGTTTGTGCCTTATTTTATTTTATTTTTTATTTTTTTTTTTTGCTTTGACATATCACTAGAGCTCAAATTAGAACTCTAGATTTAGAGCTCTCTAGCATTTCCCTTAATTTTTTAAGATTAGCAAAAAAAAATTATTGTCTAATAAAAAAATTTAAGTTGGTAATAGTTAGATGATCAAATTTTATTTATCTTATAAAAAAATTGACGGTTTATTTTTAAAATTATATTTGTTGTTCAATTTTATAAGACAAATCTAATTCGACTATGTAGCTATCAATATCCAATTAATTTAATTTTTTACATTATTATCATCTAAATAAATAAGAGAAAATATTATTTTACCCCCCAAGTTATTACGTGAAATCAATTTGGTACTTAGACTTTGCATTATTTTAATTTGATCCCTAAACTTTTTAAAATTTGATCAGTTGACCTATCGTCATATGTTTCCGTCTACCATCAAATAAAACTTGCTGACGTGGTACCAAATTTCATTTGAAACTTCATTTTACTCTCAAATTATACCTTAAAAATCAATTAACTCCCTAAATAGAAAAATATATGTATATATATTTAATTAATAATTTTTTAAATAATATGCACTCAAATAAATAAAAATATATATGTGCATATATAGTAATAAATTGTTTAAGACAACAAAAAAAAGAAAGTACATACTGCAATCCCTACCCCTTTCTCTCCTTTGCCCACCTTCTCTCTCTAAACAGCTAACTGTGTCGATCTCTACAATAAGCGAGTGCCTTGTCGTACTAACTAGCAAGTAAACTAATGAAGCCATTAGAGCATCTCTAATGGAATGATTAAATTTGTGTGTTAAAATATATTTATATGATACAAAGTGATAAAAGTGAGATTTAATTATGTGTGCTAAGTATTTATTAATTTAGAATTTGAATGTGTACTCCAGTGATATGGTTAAAATGTTTGTTAAATGTATATATAAATAAAAATAAAAAATAGTGAAAGTATCAAACATCAAATATAGATCCCAACAATGTCCTTCAACAATCCAGCTCGAAATTAATTACCATTAATTAATATCTAAAGGAGTAAAATCTACCTGCACCTACTCACGGTGGCATTGTCCAAGTACCAAAGGAAAAAGGGAAAAAATAATATTTTTTTTAAAAAAAAAGTGTTGCTGCAACAATGTGGGAGTGCATGAAAGGAAGAGAAGAAGCAGGGAAGAAAAAGATTCACGGAGAAGGAAAACAAGAAGAATAAAAAAGAGAAAGAAAGGAGAAAAAAAACAAAAGTTAAGAGGCTGTGGTGGTCGATAAGTTATTTGATGGTTTGAGATACTCTCGTGTTTTTAATGTATTGTGATTGATGAAAAATCTAGTTCTCAATTTTGTGTTTGGTCATAGAGAAATAACAGTAGACATGGTGTTTGGTGATTGGTCAGGGATATTTGTAGGTGGTCTTCCTAAACTACTATATAATTTTTATTAAACAAAATTAGACAAAAAATAAGGGCAATATTAACTTTTTGTGAAAAAAAAAATAGTTTAGACTTCATAGTTTTAAACTACAGGAAAATTATGTGGAATAATAATGTTACACTTATCACTTTTAAATACCATCGTCAATATACCATCTTATATGTTAACTCATCATTGGTGTAACAGGTCTCACCATTCATGTTTATCTCAAATGATATGCTAACACATGAGGTGGTACATTGAAGGTGGTAAGTGTAACATTATTTTTAAAGTTTAAAAGGGATAGAAATTGGTAGTGCAAATAGAACTAGAGTATTAATTAATTTTAAAATACCACATGCTATTATTTGGCTAATTTTCTTCACAAATGAAAAACGCCCAACCTATTTCACCTGTAAAAAACATTTCTTACATGATTGGTTTAGATTATTTGATTAGTTTAAAGTGTGAAAACCATAAGGTGCCGTTTAGTGGCTTGAGTTGATTCCGCAAGATATGGAAACAAACATGAAAAATAAAGAAAACAAAAACACAGCCAAATTAAAATTAGTAATGTTCTTAGTCCTACACTCATGTGATGAAATTTTGCTAAAAAAAAAGATTTAAGTCTCTAACATTTTTCAATTAAAATTGACTATGTTTTTTGAAAAACAAAAACATATCGAAATATACTGGTTATACAAAAAAAAACACACCAAAATAAATGTCACATGTGCGAGAAAGAAATAAACCTTCTCATATAATCCTGTTGATCAAGTCTGCGCTCCTCTACGTCGTCGCTTTATTACCTGAAAACACAAACGTGAGCTAGCTAGCGGGTGTGTGCCGGAAACCTCTCTGATGCCTAAGTCAGTAAGCTTGACTAATAGACAAAAGCTCTGTGTATTCAGAAAGCAAAGTTGTGTGTTACCTCTCCAAAGGTAATGTTTGTGAGCTTTTATAGGTTTCGTGTGACACAATCCTAGTAGGATTTTTACTTCTCCATGCAGAGTCCTCCTCGGATTCATACTCCTGAAAGATAATGCTTATCCTTCAACACCCTTCTCACTGCTTAAACCAAGTGAGATGGTTTTACCATGGCCGAACTCCAATATAACCGAAGTAATTACGGTCACGCCGAGCCACAGAGTAGACCGAACCGTCTTTAGTTCGGTTCTCCTTTTCACTACTTCTTATCTCGGTTCCTCATATACAAAGAATGGCGTGGTTAAACCGAGCTACCGAGTAGCAAGGTTTCAACCGGTCTAACCACAATACGTCATGACCGGGCTAACTCTGAGACCGGTCTAACTTCAAGGCGTCTTCCAACCGGCCTAACTCCAAGTCGCTTCCGGACCGGAGTAACATTACATTTCTATCGGGCCGGAGTAACTTTGTACCTCTCTCGGGCAGGAGTAACTTTACGGCCTTTTTATTTAGCCCTTCGTATTGTGGGCCATAATGACCCATTTCCCAGCTCGGCCCAATTTTCACATAAATTACCCTCTCAATTGCCCCTTAATTCCATCTGCGCAGCATGATAGGGATTACCTGTCTTTCAGCCGAGCTTAAAGTTTTAAGCCTTTCCAGCCGAGCTAAAACTCGTAAGCCTTTCCAGCCGAGCTAATTTCACACCGGGCTCTGCTTGTCAGGTGAAAACGTCTCTTTAATCACAGCAACTGAATCGCTTCTCATCCCAAGGACACGTGGCATGCTCTCATTGGCTGAAGGCAGCTGTCCCGCCATCTTCGTACCTCGTGTTTTTTGAACAGTTCCCGCCTTTGTCCCTTCTCTTTTCACAAAACAAACTCTTTCACTCTCTTTTGAATCACTCACACCACTATTCATTTCCTTCTCTCTCTCTTCGAGCCTCCATTGTTCTTCCAACTTTGCAACTGTGAAACTCGTGTCCGTGGCTGCTTTCTACTTCCCTTTCCTTCCTCTTATCTTGGTAAGTAACACAAATCTGTTCTCTTTTTGTTTGTTTTCGTTTTTGTTCTGATTCATAGCATATTGTTTGTGTTTTTGCAAAACACATTTTCCTGCTTTACCTTGCGTCTTCTAGGAAAAACTTCATAAGATCCTCATGAACTTCATGAATAAAACAGTGTTTGATCCACAATTACCATATAACCGAACTAAAAAGTAGTTTGTAGTCAATGTCCTTCTATCTGACTTTAACCGAATTAGCACTCCATGTTGGTACCAGTAGTTTCAGTAAGTCAACCACCTCTTGATAGACCTTAGCCGAGGTAAACGAACCGAACTAAGTCCGAACGTAGCATACTGAAACCTTACCTTTCGACCGAGCTAGGACTTTTGGGGCTAAGCCAGCTTTCTAAGTTTTAGACTGAACTCAGAAAGCTGCCCCTAGAGGCTCAACCGGTCTGACTGAGCCTTTTACTTAACCGAGATAACGAATCGCTTGCCAAGACCGAGATATCGAACCCCCTGCTCAATCCGAGCTACTAAGCATCTTGTTGAAACCGAGACAGAACCTGTAGCATCCACATAGCCGAAGTAGGACTCCTATTTTTGCTTTTATTTTGTAGCACAGTCCAATGATCTGTGCTTAACCCCTTTGTTTTCCAGTTTGCAGACTTAGGTTGCCCAGGCACTCCATTGCGCGCCATACCGAGCTACTGAGCACAATTTTGCCACCGATGTAACTTATTCATAACTTATAAAATAAATTGGGAAGTATAGATTTTTAGTAAATACTCCGGGCGGTCTAGCCGAATTCCGAAAAGATTACAATATACCCGACGACGTCCACCTAATCTTAGCCGAAAAAGATGTCATACCTTGGGGAAACCAGGGCTTTGTACCCTTTACCCTTCTTTCAATAATAGAAACCGGGCTAAGATTTCCAGTCCAACCCCTTATTTGTGAATTCCTTAGGCAAACCAGACTATGCCCAACCCAGCTTTCCACCAACTCCTACCGTATAATAATGGGTATAGCCGAACTAAACTGCCAAGCAGGCATCAACCTCGGTCTAGCCGAAATCTTCCACCAGTATTCCATAGGTTCGAAGGAAGATGGCTGGGTGTACTATCTTAGAATACGCCGTCGACGTGAGAAAATAATAAAAAACACACCGGATAAAGACTTGAATGACGACGATTTTTTCTGGGTGTCTGGGAACTTTGAGAATCACCAAGCCCAGATTCCTGGCCGAAGCATTAATTGGAAAAAAGGAACA